TATTTTTAATCATTGAAAGTTACCGACTACTCACAAGTGAGTAGTATCTCACAACACTATGATTTGCATGTGGGCGGAGTGCTTTTAGGTGAATTTTCTTGAGGAATTCATAACCGTAGCCTTCGGTTAGCCAAAGCCTAACCCTCAAAGCAATGGCTCACGTCTTAGTGATTCTTCGACCTTTACTCAGCAGGTGAAACTAATCACATAATTCAACTTCTGCGTTAGCATTTCGAATGAGGTGAAATGTTCCGATCCATTTTCCGTTCTGAATCAAAATTTCTGATACGCCAAACCGTGACCCTTAAGGATGTGGCAAGGTGTTCCCTCCTTTTTTACTAGCCCTTATCTGATGAACAGTGAAAGAGTTGAACCCGATAGTCACGGTAACCGGCATCCCAGGAAGCTCCTGGGGACTTCTAGTAATAAGTCACTTGGGACCACAAGTCGGTTAGGTGTGGTGCCGATACGGATGACGGAAACGCAGCTGAACTCGTGCCTTGCTTGATCAATCCTAACTTCTATGCTACTGTAAGCTCCCACTCTTTCTGTCGCCTCGGTGTTCTGGTACCCATTTCGGAGAAAGTTTTGACTGGAGGGAACGAAAAAAGTGATTGACTGAAAGGTTCAAGGATATCCTTCATTCAGTTGGACAGTGAACTATTACTTGGATTTCCACAGTCGGCAATAACGTCTTAGAGCGATTGTCTTATCGAGGTTCAGCCCAGACCGTAACAAAAAATCGATGTGCGAAACCTGTAACAGCCGCACGGAATTGTCTCGATAGTGGATTCTTAAATGGTCATTTTCCGTCAACTTTTCTCGTCCAAATAGCGATTCACAAGTTAATGAAGTAGAACAGAGCTGGAAGCGTGTAAAACTTTACTTCATCATGCAAAACGCATGATGTTTCACAGAAAAGATGGAGGACATGGGGATGCATATACCAACCGATTGATTGACTACATTGTTTTCAACCGCCTTGATTGGCTGGCGGTTCGAACCACTCACTTGACTTCGGCTCTCCCTATTCTGATTGGTTGTCCAGGAACAAAGCAGTTTTCAAAGTACATGCTGACAACACCCGCACCAACTTTCTTAGGAATACGACTCCAGTTCAAACATGATCACGACGGGATCCAGTCAACGGTTGGCTGCGTACGAAAACAAGTGGTTGAATTTCATTAACAGGATACAGTGATTGGCCTTCCCGTTCAGGAGCAACTTTGTTTTTCACGGGAAGTTCGCTCGTGAGACATACCACTAGCGTTCATCGGATTCAGCTCTTTATTGGTGTTTGATAAACTGAACTGCCCAGATCCACCACTTCTAGTATCATCGTGGCTACGTTGGCACCATATCTGTTCTTTGATCGGTGCTATTATACGCATAGATAACACTAGAATAAGCAAGCATTGATACATCGTTCATCTTTCGTTCTTGAGGATACGGTAACCGATCACAGGCATTACCTGGTGGTACGTAAAATTTAGTGAGTGGAATGAAATTAAACGACCTATCGGCTGGAAGCAGTTCACGCAGAGCACTTCGGAAAATGCGCCGCGGGGCAGAGCAAGTTGAGTTGTTAGTTATGTGCGCGTGCAGATAGCAGGATCAAGTGAGAGAAGAAAATGCAGTCAGGCGACTATCTATCCGCTTGTTCGAGTCTTGTATGCGGGACATCGCGCTCTCGATCGGAGCTATGCAATCCAAGACTCAAATCTTTCAGTTGATTTGTCTATGTTTTTCAAATTCTATCCAGTCACGTACGAAATCCATCCGGTGATGTGTCCACATACATGTACGCTGCCATTCTACCGGTAGCCAATACCGTGTTTAGGCTTTCCTGATGGGTACGCGAAACCTGTTTCATCGCTGTGGCTAACTATGATAGGTACCCAAAAAATGAGACGCACGTACAATTGTATCAATCCATAGGCTTCTATTTACATCATACGTGTATGTATGTACACAGGACGAATGAATACAAGTCAGGAGAGGGAAGAACGAAGATAAGGTAGAAAATCGTTGGGTTAAAAATGCCATAAGTGGATGAGGGAGGAGTGCGGTGGTTGTCAGTGTGTTAAACCATTTCACCCATCTCGGAATCCTCATCCTGAATGGTACTCAGTCGTGAATTGGTTCGATGTCCGCGTCGGGACGAACGGGACATGTTTGGTTCCGGCATTTTCTCGCCAAACGCTTCCAGTTCCTCGTGCAATGACATCATATTGGCAGCCAGGTGATTAGACCACACGGAAATCGGTAATTTTTCGATCGCGTCCTCATCATCCTCGTCATCCGACTGAGCAATAGAAAACAGGGGGACATCAGAATTAGTCATGCATTCGAGTGAGAAACAGGGGATGAGAACGGTTCCAAGGTCTGATACCAGAGAATAACTTATAATACGCAGTATAAGACACGTATCTTTGTTTTGGAATGTAACGACAAGCAGTCATACTGTCGTACCAATTAATTACTTGGATTTAAGCTTCCCGAACATGAAGATTGTATCTAAAAAGACTATTTCATGGCTGTCTTTTCGTAACCAACATCCAACTAAAACGGAACGGATAAAACAGCACGAATGTGAATGTAGGGCACAAAATGACATTTGACCAGGTATTGTTCCTAATCGGTGATCACTGACTATGCCTTGATCTCTCATGGCTGGTGGCGCAGTGGTTTAGTCGCTGCCACCGGTATGCTTTGGATCCTATGGTTCGAAATTAGAGCCCCACCACCCAACTTTAGCGGTAGGCCAATTTACTGTCGCCCGTTTCAATACCACGCCTAACCCAGAGGTGGGGTCTTATGTGGTTCGCCACTCCAAGTTCCGCAGGGCTTGGGTTGCCGGTTACTGAACAACGGCTCTTCGTGACTATGTGGTCCGCCCTGACTGCTGTTCATCACGCAAATGTGTTTGTAATAGAAAAACATGGCAAATGAATAAGCAAACCGTTTGCGGCTGTTCACTGCCAGCTCATGAGAGTTTAGTTGTTTTTGTTTTAGTTTTAACAACCATAAGCCATGCACCTCAGTCTGGCGGTTTTGGAGTTGAATTGTTGAAAGCAATGTAAAAGAGAGAGAATAGAGAATTCAGGCAGACGAAGGTTGCGAGGATAGGGATTAGATGCACGAGCACAACTGCTTGCCTTTAACCATCGGTTACGCTGATCCTCAAAAGAAGCTATCGACAGGTTATGGTTGCCATACCCTCATGCCAGGTCGGATGACTTTTTTAATTTCACACCTCTGAGTTCAGACTGTGTGCCAAACACATCACGACACAACATTCTCTATAAAAAGACAAAAAGTTCAAGATGTTCTCGTGGGCGCGATACTGCTAGGTTGCCCAGGTTAATGCAGATAAATTTTCTCAAGGAGTCCACAACCGGAGCCTTCGGCTAGCCAAAGCCTGACCCGCAAGGCAGCGGGGCGGAGTGAGAAAACCGCAATCCATTGGGAGGCGGTGTCCGGTTCATCGGACCATACGCCCTTCGGACGGGGTCAAACGTCCAAAGTGCCAAATAGACCTCCATGCCCAATGGAGCCGGTGACCATTGTCACAACCGGAAAGGTGTGGGTGTGGTTCGTACGCCTCCTCTTGGTAGTTTGGGAATCAGGGTCTTAGCCATCTACCCTAAGTGAACTGCCCGTGGTTCACCCACCCAGTTATGTCAACTTGCGTCCTCTCAGTTAGGTGGGAAAACACCTACACCACGAGAAGGCAATAAGAAGGTGCTTCCTCAGCACAGGCTATATGAGACAGCTGGTCGTACGGGAGCATTTCGCGAGGTTCAAGGCAGGGGTGACCAGCCAAAACTCTAGACACCCACCCCTGACCATACTGAAGCTTTCGAAGACAGATCTAAGGTTGATCACCTCAACACTTTTCCACCCGTTACCTGCCTCCCCAAACACCGCTCATCATCGTAATCTATCTGGTGACATGCGTAACATCTGCCCGAACAACGTAATCTATGGAAGTCGAGAACTTCCTCTCGTGGATGACCGTGATTACCTGAAACTATACACCTAACCACAGTATTGATTGTTCAGCTTCCCCACAAGACTCGTGCAAGGTGGCTTAGACAGTGGTCTTCAAACACTGGCAGTCCATCTTTATCTTGTTTTCACAATGGTCAGGTTTCTGCATTGCAGAGCAGCTTCATTGCTTTCATCAGAGTGAGACAACTTGATTTGATACTCGAGCAACTTGAATTGCAAAGGGTATAGTTAGTGCATAGATGTACAAGAGAGAGGGACTGTGTGTATGCGATTGTGCATCAGTGTTAACTATTGGTCACCCATACAGCATTGAAACGGTGAATTCAACTTGGGTTGTATTTGGCGGGCCGGAACTCCTGATTCACCTGTACGCACATGTCTCACTCAATTTATCGAAAGTGAATTAAACCGTAAATATCTTTTTTATTTTCACAAATCAGCATACAGATGTTGTAGTGCTCAAGTGCTATCGTATTAATGGACAACGTAACAGAAAACATAGTCTGTTATTTATTCAGTGATAAAGCTGAGTGAGTGCTCTTCTGTCCATGACAGTCAAGAGCACGGAAAACTCGCATTTAGCATGATTGACTCAGTTGAACCTCCAGGACCACGGACAAATGGACGTTAAAAGCTCTTTCTTCGTTTGTTTTCATTTTTTCCTCGCAACGAACAACAAAAAGAGCGATTGGCATTTCCCAACCTGAGCTATTTGTGGCGCCGTCGCGACATCCGGTTGTTTGTTAAGGGTCGAGTGTATGCCGCGGCAGTTTGATCAGTGTTACTCTACGGTGCAGAGACTAGATCACTACGGGAACAGGATAAAAATAGATTGTCGGTGATTGAACACCGCTGTCTACGCAGTATTGCACGAATTTGGTGGGTCAACCAAACGAGCAATGCTGGAGTTAGGTGTAGAGCTTTAGGTAACCACGGTCGCCATTGGAGCAAGTGATCGGCCTCTATAGATTACGTTGGTTGGGGCATGTGTTACACATGTCACCAGATAGGTTGCCAGGGCGAGCTATGTTTACCGACGCAGGTAGCGGTTGGCAAAAGCTCGAGGGCGGTCAAACGAAGACCTGGCATAAGGGCATGAAAACACTACCCAGGAGACTGGGTCACGTAAGTCCCGTTAGGTTACTTGGCCGATGATCCCGAGATCATGGTCACTGAGGGTTAGAGACACTGAGCGATACAGCTGGGTGTCGCAAACAGTGGCGCTCATACATCTACTCACTGTTCTCGCAACCTCAGTCTATATGAATTCTCTATCTTCCCTTTGACTCTGCTCTCAAAGTTCCAATCTTCATGCTGTTCTTTTATCCAAATGGCCGGCCGGCAGCTAAAACCGGTGATATTGGTTGTAAAAACTGGGAACTGAAATCGAACAACAGCAGAGGAACGACAATGATCTCGCCGAAAAAATGTTGACGAATAGAAAACTCACCCATGCATCCCCATCACGATAGCGCCGTAGAACTGCCTGTCGCACCGCGGACCTTTCTATCC